GGTAAAGACTTTAAAATAACTTTGGGAAAATCTTGCATAAACTTTCCAGCATCTATATATAGCCTTCCGCTTGTTTGAAACCGCTTTGTTAATTTAAAAGAGGATTTTGAAAGGCAAAGAGGGCAGTTGTAGGTACCAACCCCAGGGAAGTAGATACTTAAAGAAGTACCACAAATTTAGTACTGTTTTTAAATCCACAGTACTGAAATAGCAGTGCTACATAGTGAGATCATGAGATTTCATTTTCAAGAACACTAATAGGTTTTTGGTTCACTCTTTTCTTCATTTTTGTGTTTGTGCTTTGGGATGATCACATGCTACATTTACAGACTACTTCTGCAAGTGTGGTAGTGAGGACTGTCCAGATGCCTGTTCTCCTCCATAAGCCCCATCTGAGAACAGCTGAAGTTGACTGTGAGGCTTATGCTGACAAGCAAGAAGAAAACACGTTGTCACTATAAGCAGGAGATGTCTTGAGTGGAACCAGAAGACAGTGTTTGAATCAATTGCTTCTTTTTACATTTTGGTTGCTACAGAGACCAATACAATCTTTAGATGGAGTTAGCAACTCTTAACCTGTGTCAAAGAAAGAGACCAAGAATGAGCATGAGTCGGAGAAGACCAGTGAAGCCTCACAGCGTGGAAGGATGTGAAAAAGACCCAACAGCAGAGAATAAGAGGATGTGAGCTGTGCTGTGCTCACAATGAAATCATTGGGAATTTTGCCATGAAAGTAGAACTGAGTTGTTCTTTCATGTATGAAAAGTACTGCAAATTACTAATACGGAGCTCGCATTAAGGAGTTAAGACAGGAAGCTGTTTTCTTCCTAGGTTGAGCCAAGAAGATGCAAAAGATGGGTCCCTAAACTAGCCAAGCCTTGGCAGAAGTCTCGCTTTCAGCATTCCTTGAGGGTGTTTTTACTTCCTATTAATATATATTGTAGTTCTCCCACTGCTTCCTTGAGCTCTAGTGGCCTTCCTTCTCTTTTCCACCTGATCAAGAACCTGCATTGTAACCTAAAGTACACTGGAGCAAACAGATGTCTTCGTGTTGTCTTTTAATAGGCTTTGAATCAGAGCAGAGAGGTTATAGTTCTTAGGTTTATAGTTTGATTTACAGATTAGTTGGGACATTTTGCTACTGTTTTGATTGGAGCACAGGTAGCCCTAGAAATGACAGAAGCAGCAAATACATAAAACAAGGTTCATGCCAATGGGACAACCGTAAGAGTTTATATATGCAGTGTCGATGCGCAGAGCAACTTGGTGGCAGAACCAGGAATGAAGGTGAAGAGTCCTGAGTTCCCTCCTTGTGCTTTCACCATTCCATCATGTGGACTCCCCATAATTATAAAATTGTGCAAAGAGTAACATCCAGCAAAGACCAGTTCTGCGTGGCTCCATTGAGCTTGCCAAGGTTGTTGGGGCAGCGAGGGAAGACACACATAATTCATTTTAAGAAGGTTTTTTTCCCCCCTTTTTGTCGTCTTCTTTGTGGTGGCTTGTGAAATGCTGGGAAGGAACAGTACAATGAACAGAAAATGTTCCAAGGAAACCAGCCTTCTCCATGCCATTGCCCAACAAGAACCCAGTATACCAACCACGGAGCTTCGCATAGGAGTGCATGACACACATGGGAGCTATAATTTCTGCTGGCATGACACCTCGCTTCCTTTCTGAATCCACAGAGCAGAGAAAAGGCAGAGAATCAGAGTCTCTCCCTGCCTGGTCAAGGCTCTCCCTCACCTCGAATACAAATGCAGGTACAAAATTATTGAGTCCATATTTTTTTGCATGATTTATAGCCATAAAATACAAGCTGCCTTTGAGCACTTGGCTCTTCCCCTCTTGCAAGTTAGGGCCAGATGCAAAAGAGGACTTAAGCACCTACAACACAGTAGGTTCCTCCCTGCTCAGGATAACATTTCTTCCACTACCAGCAACTTTATGTCTAGACATGCCCAGAACTGCTGTGACCTGAGCAGCTTAGTGCAGAATTCCCACCTAAAACCCACTGAGATCCCAGAAGAAGTAAAGAAGCATCTCTTTTCTCAGGACAGCCAATTCAGATGGAATATTTTGAACAAGCCTAATACACACCAGCAGGACCAGCCTCCTCACATGATACAGTCATAGCTGCCTGCTTTTAAACTGGACCAGATGGGAGAGGTGCTCTCTGGCTGGATGGTTTGGTTTGACTGACAAACCTGAGCAGAGCCGGAGCCATCCTTAGCCATTTTGCAGAAGGGTCCAGGCCTGCCCCAGTCTTGTGGGGATTGTCTAGGAGAATAAGCATTCCCTCTGGGAATGAGATTGTAAATCTGAAGGTTTCCAACACAAAGAAGAAACAAAACCACAGGCTCCTTTCAAGGAAAACATAAATGTGGAGAATTAAAAAAGAAGCAAAAAAATCAAAAAAAAAAATGAAGAAACCACAGTTATTTTGCTGGCTAATATCATGAAAACATGATAGTACTTGCAGCTTCCTGCTTGGACCTGGCTTGCTCCGAAGTTGTTTTGTGTGTTAATCATGTGGTTTAGATGATGAAGATTATGTCTGAGTGAGCTGGTTCAGATAAAAGGGGAAAAGGCAGCAACCAAACCTTCAACCAAAACTCCAACCTAAACTTTTCTAAGCTTCAACTAAAATAAATTTAAAAAAAAAGTATTAACTTTCTTTATTATTCTTTTGTTTGGCAATAAGATTTTATTTAAAAGTGCTGTTATTCATTAGCTACAGTTACTCATTCAAAGCTTTGGGAGCGCATGATGCCGTAGGAAGAACTGTTGTTATCACTGCAAACAGGTTCACGGAAGTCCATTACCATCCCTTTGCCTGAATTGGGCTGTTTAATGGGACTAATGGTTTTAATCCTTTTTACTGGTTCTGGTATAACTACCACCACTGAACAAGTTTCTGCCCAGTTTTGTTTTCTAGGCATTAAAACTATGTTCTTTAGCACTTTGCTACATAATACATTTCAATACCCATTTTAAATGGTTGTCTCAGCTAATGACATACTTTTGTGCTTGATTTGCACGTTTGGCATGAGGGGTGCAAGGGAAATACACACTTACTCCATTTATGTCCAAGACAGACAACTTTGCAGATGTTGAATTCATGCATAACAAGCCCAATATTCTCTCATGCAGACATTAGGCATCAAAGTACAATAGTTGTAACTACTGTCCTCATCCTCCATTACTTTTAGTTATGAAGACTGAGAGCCTGGCACTTCCAGATGTGCTAGAAAGCATCTTACACACCCTGTGGACTTGCTGTAAGTCCATGGGTTTGATTGCACAGTCATGAGACAGTGGGGAATCAGGCTTTAGGTATATTGTATATGATCTGGAGAATCAAGTCTCCTGTCTTACCATCCCTTCTAATAATTTCTAGCAAGAAAATTAACTCTGTCCCAGACAAAACCAGGACATACACCAACGTGCAGGAAAACTGGCTGGAAGGAGCCCATAACATACTGCTATGGGGGACAGGTTGCTGCTCAGGGAGATACCATAACATTGGGCATTTCACAAGACAGCTGGACCCTGATCCTTCCAAAGTACAGGCAAATAAATGAGATGCTCAAATTAGGACTCCTTCACTGTAGTCACCAGTGAGATGCAGGTACCTTCAAAAAGAGGTTAAGCTTCCCAAATGTCAAGGAAACAGGGATTCTAACAGTACAGTAAGATTAATCTAGACTTCAAGCCTTAGAGCTGAGCACAAGCAAAGGTAAAATATCACAGGACACAAGACTGTGGCAAGCACTGTCTGGAGACTGCTGTTCAATCAGTTGATCCCTCTGCACACCTGCAATTACTGATTTTGAGTGGGTACGAAGGAGGGAGCTGCTTTTCATGACAGTGGCTGTTTGTGCAGCGGTTCAAGCCCAGCTTCAGTCAGGTTATATTAAAAACAGAGTGAGTAAGCCAGCTCTAGAGACAGACTTCTATCATTATAAACCAAAGAGGCTTAGATTAACATTTGAACTTTTTGAATGCTTATTCTAATTCAACCACAGAATCTTCTGAGAGTGTCAGCCATCACTCATTAAGACATGCAACCATTTATCTGTGGTTCAGCCATGCACTGATGCACAGGTTTTGCTTTAGTGGTGCAAAGTGGCTGTGCTGGGGTGAATGCCACTCAGATAAAACCAAGCACTAACTCTACACTTTCATATTAACTCTCTTCCCTCTTCCATAGTTGGGAATATTACCATGGCCTCAGATTTAGAGTGAAAACAAACAACCCACTTCAAAAATAAACTGCCCTAGGAAGTGCCTTTGAATTTATTGTTTTTAATGCCAAATTAAAAGAACATCACATGTGAATGTAAATCATTTTCCCTGCAGTGAATGCAGAACAAACATCCCAGTGTTTTGCTAATACCTGGAATATAAAATTGTTTATAAACAATGACAAATCTGACAGGTCTGTTTTATTTCTCTTCCTCCTCCGTATCCCTCAGTGTAAATTAATAAATATTAATGAAAAAGAGAAGCAATAACACTTATCTGTAATTTTTTCTCCTCTTATTTTATGATCGTGCTTAACTTAAAAGTGTTTTGGGGTTACTTTTAGTTATATATATGATTGTTTGAGCTTTTTATTAGCTGTGATTCATTCTGCATATCAGAATAAAGTGATGCTCGTCTTTCAGTCTGTATCTGTTCCATGATGCTGTTATCTGTCTGCCCTTGAGCTATCGGTAAGTATGGATTTGCATGTACACTGTTCTCCTATGGCAATAGTATGCCAGGAATGACCGGTCTGGTATTACCTGGTCAGGTGAGGTTCCATTCAAATAATGCACATGCCACCAAAACAATTCAGATCAAAGGTCTGTCTTTCAACAGAATTAAAATGTAAGGACTTCTAAAGCAATTTTAGCAGTTGGCTTTACAAATGAACTTATGTCAGCTGCTCTGTATGATGACTAAATTGCTTATATATCTAATCTTATCTAGCTATCTGTCTGTCTGTTTTTCAGCATTTCAGTACCCATCACCATATTATCTAGGCGCCACCATAAGATTAAGAAGGTCTGCAGTGACATTCTCAACATGATCTGTTCAAAGGTCGTTAGCAGAGCCTTTCATACTGGAAAAGATCGGAGGAGAGTACGGAAGTGAGCCACAGAAGGAGAGAAAAAGGCAAAGGAGGCGGTAAGCTGTCAGAGCCATTTTGGTTGTGCTCATCCTGTGTGGCTTGCTTAGCTAGTACTGAAGGATAGGAACCCCATGTTGCCTGCCTTTATTCTGCTACAGGGACTATACTACTTGTGGTACACTTCTGTCACCTGAGCAAGTTATCTCACATGGCCTCAAGATCGCTGTCCCTGTGCTTTCTTCAGATGCTGTTTACATGCTTGTTCTTTATGACTTCTGTATATGACTGCTTCAGAGCAGGATATTTGTCTCAAAAAATCCTAGTAGAGAGCAAGCACTGCAACTCAGGGAACCACCTTTTCCAAACTAATGTTATCAGTTAAACTCTTGTTTTTAGCTTAGTGTGCAAATCCTACAAACTGTGTTTGAAGAAGCCGAAAAGGGTGTTTTTTCAATGTAAACAAAGTTAGACAGGACCCATGGAATCAGGAAAGATGATTTTATCCCACAGGCCCAGTCCTGCTTCTTCTGAAGTTGGTTGCTGTAGTGTCTCTGATTGCCATGAGCACACACTGAGGACAACCTTGGGAATGTGCATGGTGAAAGGTGTCACTGGCCATCCTGTGTTCACTGATGCAGCCTGTTGCTACTGTTTCAAGAAGTAGATGGTAAGTGAAAACTTTGCCAAACTCTTTTTTTCACCACTGCAATTAAGAAGCCTGGTTCCATCCCGAGGAGGCCAATGACAGTATGTTGGCGTGTTGCTCAAACCAACCCCCGGAGGTTTTTTGTCCCCCTTTTGGTACAAAAACACTAGGGGATTTACACTAGGGGATAAATAGGTGGTTCCAGAGCAAGAAGGAAAGAGCCAAAGTTGGAAGCTAACCACAATATGTGGGTGTAAACGATTACCAAAGGCTTCCAGTAACTCTGCTATCATCAGAGACTGGCTTTATGGGTATGGCCTCAAGAAGTTTCCCTCCACTTAATTAAAGAGGCAGATAAGTATCTAGGTGGAGTGTGCAGATAGGTTCTGAATGAGTTATCCACTAAGGCTGGTTCGCTGCACCTATTGTTAAAGCCAGAGTATAATATCAGATTAATGCATTATATTTGCCTATTATAGCACTATGTCATCATTATATGACATGTTATAATTAAAGCCCTGCATTAGAAACAAAACTATTTGGCTTGGGATAAGTTGCCTTTACGACTTCTGTGGTTATGATTTCCTCCTTTTCTTAACCCCTTAAAACTGCATAATATAGCTATTTGTAACTGTATAAAGAAAGTTTCTAGTTTCAGATTCTAATCTCAGGTAATTCAATGTAAGTAAAGTCAAAATCTGGCACATAGTCTTTTCCCATCTCTGAATATTTGCTAATAGAGGGAAATCCATGTTGTTTGTGTCAAGAGTCACCAAGATGGGCATTAGATTAAAGGACAGGATGCGTAGCTCACCATCAAGGCCTCTCAGTTATCATTCGCTGTCCACATCAGTTCCTGATTTTGTACAATTCCCTATTACTTTTCAGGGAGGAAGCCACTCCACACTTTCACTCTTCTTTTTCCTTCCTGGAACCACACGAGCTAAAATTGGTTATTAGACTAGTTTCTGGCCCTAGCTCTCGGGAAACCAAGCTCACAAATGCAAATCTGCAAAATGGGTGTGTGATTGCATGCCTCACTTGGAGATACGATTAAGATTACAGTTTGGGTAACTGACTATGCTAATGTCTTTAATTAGTGATTTGCATATGCAAGCTTTTAAATTTCAGTAGTTGGTGATTCATGCAGTTAAGTGCCAACCTTAGCCTTGCTGCCAGATTTAGACAGACCACGGATGCCAGCGGTACCCCTTCTCCCACACATCAGATGCGCAGAGCGTTACCAGCAGTCAAGGTGTTAATTTCCCCAGAATACCCAGGCTTTGCCTGTTTGAGGAGCAAGGGTGATGAATCCTCTGCTGTTGTTTGGTAGCAACCTTTATTATTTAATATTTTGCAACACTCTTATATAAATCTAATTGATGTCTTTTATATTAGCAACTGAACTGTGCATTTGTTTGGTTTGGAGATGGCCACCTTAATGAAGGTTAATGATGAAAGGACAGTTGCCAGTAGCTGGGGGTGATATCCCACTGTCAGTCAAGCAGCTGGTGAGAGTTTATTCTGTTGCTGCAATGCTGGTAACTCAATAATTTGCTTCCTGATTCATGGGTGACCTTTCACCTAGACTTGGAGAGAGCTGGATTTGGCCTTGCTAACTTGCTTGTTCAGTTTTAGGGCTTAAGCACACCAGGGGCTATTTTGTTATTTGTTTCACTTAGATGTTGGAAATGTGCGTTCTCTTCATGGGGGCGATTTGTCCCATGCAGGAAGGCCCCAAGTGTAAGTGCCAGATGTCTCAGATCATCACTCTGGAGTACATACAGACTTCTGATGTGTATAGCTGAATGGAGACACATTTTTAGCATAATAGAATTCCTAAAGTGAAAATCAGAAAGTAAAAATAACAATATCCAAAAATGGGATTATGTTTTGCCCAGAAAAGTTATTTCTCCAGGTTTTGCCAGTGGTACCATGGCCACTGCTCAAGGGGAAATTTCCCTCTGTGGCTGCTTACTCACACAGGTAAGTCACTCAACTTGATCCCACTGTGACTGCTCCTGTTCGCACGGAATTGGTGGCTGAGGAGAGATGACTCAGAGGGAAAAATGGGATATAATGGGCCGCACATGGGCATTCCAGAAGAGTGTGTTCTCTCCAGTGCTAATTAATGTTCTGCTATGCAAAACACTTAATAATACAAAACACTGCTAATTTCTTTTTTCTTAAAACACTTCCACCAGCCTCTTGAAAATGCTTTTATGAACTCCATTCAGTCCTTTCCCATGTTGTTTGACAAGTCTCCTAATTATGTCGATGGTTTATTACCATGATCTGTTGTTTCTGAACAGGGTGTTACTACATACTTAAAATTGTGGTGATGCCCCCCAACATCAGGAATTATATACTGTGAAAAGGAAGTGTATTCAAAAAGGGAAATGCTGAGGCCTCAGTGCAGTTCTGTGAAAGCAGAGCTCATTCAAGGAGAGAAAAGGGAAGACAGTATCCAGCCTTGAGCGTGATTTCAAATACCTTGAGAAGTATGAGGCATGGTAAAAATATGGCCCCTGCAGAGGATTTCATCATGAGGAACAGGCTTCTGTAGTCACTGGGTGAAAAAAAATTACTTTCTAATAGCATCTGCCTATTTTACATACATAATGAGCCAAACTCCATGTGGTCACATTACTGCCTGGAAAGCGTTTGGAGTGAGGGACAGTTGTGCTTCCAGTCATTTTTGCCAGAAGACTTTCCCAGCTGAATTCATTTCTATTTTTAGCTCTTAGTATAAACTGTAAATAATTAATAGGTGGTATTGTTAAGGCCTCATAGCCCATATTTCACACTTCTTTAAACAAATAGTACCTGAGACACATCCAGAAGTATCTATTGGCAGGTAAAGAACTGAAGCAAAGAAAGGTGAGGTAACTTGCCCGAGATCCTGCAACAAGTTTGCAGCAATGGCAGATACAGGACCTTGCTTTCCTTTCTCCAGAATCACTAGGTCATCCCTTCTACCTAATTAATGTGGGACAGAGTCTGCAGCAGAGGCTGAAAAGCGACCATCTGGGCTTAATATTTAGTACACAGCCAGTGCAGCACCCTCCTGCACATGCCAGGTCCCACCAGTTTACTGAGCTGTGTAGTGTGGCCAAAGCCCTCCTGAGATCTCTAGCTAATGTTTCATCTTAGAGGCTGGAGAAGAGCACAAATTAGCTTAGAGAGGTGTTTGTTTGGAGGTCACATTCACCTCCCTTCTCCTCAAGACATGGTGGTAGGTGGAGGAGGGAAGAACCTAGGAGTGCATTTGTAAAGAAGCTTATAACAAGTGGGCTTTTCTGCCCTGGATTGTGCACAAGAGTGATTAGATGATAAACTCCCATGGATCTTGACAAGCTGTGGATGCAGGAGGTGAGTGAAAGGCACATGAAAGCCAGCACACCTCAGAGCGGGGCTTTATGCAATATGAAATGAGTTTTACATGGATAAATAATTTTTCCATTTGTCCCCTTCATTTCCTAAAAAAAACCCTCCTGCATAATTGCCAGTGACAAGCCCTTCTCAGAGCAAAGCCTGTTTTGAAGGCCTGAAATGCTGATATCAGAAATGCTTATGTTTGACCAGCAGAGACAAAGTGGTTCACAGGAAAGCAATACAGGGCTGTTGGGAGACGGTCCTCACCTTCTCCTTCTGTGAATACAGATGAGGATGAAGCCAGCTTGTGGTTTTCATGGCAGCACAGCATACCCCTATTTTCAGAGGCAGAAACACGTGCTGCAAAGATAACTTTTCTTTGAGGAAGAAAGCCAACCCCATCATTTCTGGCCTTTATAGTAATCAGGATAACCCCCAGTGTGTGACAAATAGAATGGTATCTGCCTCAGCCTGCAGAAACCAAGAAGTGTTGGGCCAAAAGGTCCATAGTGCCTCTTCAGTACATGGATCTGTTGATCAGATTAGGAAAGTACTAACTTGAGAGCACACGCACTACCTTGATTAGCAGTTTCATAGTCTTGTAAAAGCATCTCCTTTTGCTCTCCCAAGTAAGTGGAGCTTTGTTGGCAGACGGAGCCCAGGAAAGGGTTATCGCTATTTTGATTTTTATCTCTACTTTTATTTTTCCCATATCTAATGCTACCTTGAAGTGGAATAGGAGAGGAGAGGATGCTGCGGGGGGAGGGGGCTGCAGCCTGCATCCTGCTGCCCTGCTCCCTGATAGACAGTCGCTGCTGGAAGGGGATATGCAAACGTGTTAGGAGGAGGCTGTCCCTGAGCTGTTCTGTACTGCAGAATGCTGCCCTGCTCCTGCCTGCCTGGGCTAGGGCAGACACCCCACAGACTGCACTGCTGCACCCTGATACCCCTTTTCCAGGAGTTACTTGTGTTACAGCAGGATATTGCCTCTCTTTTACTTTAAAAGGAACATTTTAGTTTTACCAATCATAGTAAACTGACTCTAATGCCAGTAAAGCATGCCTAATTGGCAGGGTTTAAAGACTGATCATTTCAATTTATGCCCAGAACAGGTAGGGCAGCAATGAAAGCCTCTCCCACCCAACCCCACCCCTTCTCACCAATGTGCCTCAACCCTGCCCTGAAGGGACCACCTGGAGGGCTGAGAAGGGAGTTCCCTCCCTCTGCGCAATAAAAAGGCACAGTCCTACAGTAAATACCAGGTTAAGCTTATGGCTGCTTAATAGTCAGTGTACCTCTGGTAATAAAGCTCTTGCAGGACTCGTGCAGAAGAGCACCTGTTAGTGAATCAATGCAAAAGCAGGAGCCATTTGCTAAAGTTTTGCCTTTAAGGACTTGGCAGAAAAACACAGGAGTGGAATTTTCACTTCACGTTACCATGAAATCAGTGGGAAAATAGTTCATTGTCTGTCTGTTGGAAACGGTTCCCAACACTGCCACGGCCTGCAATAGCCTTCCCAGAACTGTGTGCTGTTTGGTATCACTTCCTTCTTTTCAGGCCTCTTCAGCACATGGAGATCTGCCTTCTTGTCCTTCATGCAAATCCCTTTCTAATCTGTCAGCCCAGCTCATGACTGAATCTCCTACAACCACGCATGGGACTGTATCACAAGAGGTTCAGTTGCATCATTCACACCTGTTCTGAGTGTCCCATCCCTCACAAGCCAAAATCCACAGGAGACAATTCTGGAGAAAGGTGCAGTTGACCCGTATTTGTTATTGGCAGAGGAAGAACTACCAAGGAGTCATGGTTTTCCCCTGACATCTAAACAAAATGCTGTGCAGAAAGAAGAAAGGCAAGCCCCGTGCAAACGCTGTGTCCCTGTGAGCCTCCAGCGAGCCAGGCTTAAGCAATTGCAGAACTAAAGTAAAAATAACATTTTCCAGTAGCCATTAGTAGCTCTTAGATTGCCCAATGCAGGCATCATTGCTTTTCTCAGCACCTGCTTTATCAGTTGTCTTCCAGCCCATAGAAGTCCATGGTTCTTGGCATCTTGCTGATGTGGAATGGGTTGTTGCTTAAGAATCCTTTGATCAACAGCCAGGTACTAACACCGTGTTCTGAAATGTTGGCTTGCCAGACCTGGCCAACATGCAAGCTGGATGGGCTCCTTCAGCACAGTAAGAAGAAATCAGGATTCCTTTGGGCCTGGTTGAGTCCATCTCATTCATCATCTTTCTGGACACCTGCCTTTTCTATCATGGTTTCCTTCCCAGGGCTTCCGCCCATGCTACAGCTGTATCACAGCAGTATAATCCAGGGGCCAATCAGC